TATATTCGGGTATATTTTCGAAAGAAATAGAAAAAAAACGGTTTTAACATGGGTTTCAATAATGTGGGCTTTCAACATATTATTTTGACACAGAACAAATGATCAGAAATAATATATTATTAATATAATTATGAAATAGTTTAGATTGGGATGACCAAATTTTAATCTGTTTTTATATGTTTATTTTTTATACAAATTTTCAAAATCTTTTTACTTTTTTAAACATGTTAAACTAACTTTTAATTTTTAGGCATATTGAGTCATAATATAATTTTTAACATCATTTGCGGTCATTTCCATTGTCTTTATATATAGTATACAATTCTCTAATTAACTATATATGTTTAATTTTTTTATATGATATCAAGATTGATCATACAATAGATGGTTTAACATGCCAAAAATATTATATGCTAAGTGAATATAATATGATCAAGTATTACAAGTACATCATTTAATAAAATAAATAATCAACAACCGGAAAATCATACCCGCGCTGGCGCGCGGGTCAAGGTCTAGTTATGACTTAAAATACATATCCCAAAACATTAATTAAGAAGCCATCTAAAATATCTTTTCCATAATAAGAAGCTCTCTTTCACAATCAACGTTACTCTTTAACATTTTTTCTTGTTCTACAGAAAATAGTTAATTGAAATTTTAATACGATTTGTATTTATTTAGAACTTCTTATATATTATTGGTTAAACAGATATAATTAGCAAAAACATTAATGCACTGTAATCATTTTTTTAATTTATGTAAAAGATAACTAAGTGATACTTTTGGTAAAATAGAGAAAATATGTTTTTAAGGCTTTTGGCACATTAAAAAAATTAAATCACAAATATAAATACATTTTTGTAATTATAATTTTCAGTCACTTTTAATATATTAGTTCAATAAACTTAATATTATTTTTTGAAGTTTAGAACTCCTACTAAAAATTACAAAATGATACAAGCAGAATCGGCTCAATCATATGGACCTGAGACAAAAAAAATTAGACTCTTGAAACTAAAACTGATTAAACTTTTTGAATAAGTATTTTTTCTTTTAAAAATATTAGAAATGTTTTTATAAAATATGTGCCGAAACAAAATATATTCATATAAAATGTTTTCTTATACATTTTATTCTTTATTTTTTGTATAACATTACATATATTTTTTTAAGAAAATCGAACTCTCAGCTACTAAAGAATTAGGAGGACACTGAACTGGATCAGGGGGAAATCGCACTCTTTTGTCTCCCACCTAAGCCTCCCCTGAATACAGGTACTATCGGAAAAGAAAACTAAAATATTTGTCTTACGGAGAGAATAAATCGAGATACTATATACCCCATGTTGTGCTCCTCATCATCTCTTGTAGAGTTGACTTATTAATCCTCTCTCCTTTTTCGTTCAACTAGTTGTCTTTATCCTCTTACTCTTTTTAATTATGGCGTTGAATTTTATGTGTAATTTGGCACATTTCAATTCGTCCGTAGAATCAGAACAATTTTAGCATTCAAACCATTCGCATGTCATCTACACGTTCAAAATGTCTCCAGAAAAAACAACTGTTTTTATTTTTACCAAAAAAAAACAACTATTTTTATCAAATACATAATCATTGATAACGCCATCGTCGTTCTCCATTACCACTGTCTACCTACTATGCCGGATCTACAACACCGCCTCTCTGTCTTGTCGACCTGTTTACGGTCATGTTTCCATCCTATTCCAGGATCGCCAAACATCGAACCTACGGATCTATGCTTTACATGACAAATATTCAGTCATCTCTGTTGTATATAGAGTCCCACGAACCAGATCTACACTTCACTTTCGTCTCTATTTTGATAGTTTGGAGGTTTGAACAGATGTTGAGTCAGAACACTCCACTGTTTCGCCTCACCTCACTAGACAGAGTCACCAACTCCAGCCACCACATCTTTCCAACCCTAGCTAGCTGCCTCACCGGTCTTTCCATCACTGAATTTACACTCAACATCGAGGTAGCCCCATCTCGCCAAAGTTTCTATGGAGCTAAGCTACATCGTTTGAACCTCCTTCTCCTAGTTACTGCCGGACCTTTTGTGCAAGAGTGTTGTTTCGCCAAATCTGCTTACTATTATTTTACCGCTGCGTCTCTATCACACTATGTCGTCTCAAGCATCGACGGTTCTTCACAAAACCGGTTATGTGGCTCTTCCAATATGAAGGCTAAGTTAGCTTTTGAGATTCACCTAGTCTCGTTGAGAAAGTTTTTTGAGTTTGGAACTGATCGTGTCAATTTCAGGGTCAAATTAAGTCTATTAGGACTTTTTCTTCTCGGTGTTGCCCAAGATACTAGAGCTTCTCACCAAAAGCTCTTGCCGGTCAACAGTACAACCGCTTCTTATTGGTGTATCAACGTCGATTTCGACTATCAATTGTTCTTTCGAACAATCGCCTTAGGGATTAAGATGAAACTTCTCCATGGGGTTCTTTATCTTGCTGAGCTTGACTCGCCTCTTATAGGCTTTATCTTTCTATGTTTTGTAATGTCTTCTACTTTTGTTGTATTGTCGAGCATGTCTTCGGGATCTTCTGTTTCAGTTGTAATCCTATGCTCTTTGAAATTATAATATAAGTTGGTGTTACAAAAAAAAAAAACATAATCATTGATTTGACTGATATGTTTCAAAGCCAATGATAAAGTATTCAGTTCATATTGGGCCGCGATCAGGTTCAGTCATCTAAAGTTTTCTTCTTTGGGCCTAACAGGGCCCTATTATAGTCGCAAATATACAACCAAATAGAATACACATCTGGTTGATAAAAATAGCTGTAATTGAGTTTTCTCATGTTCTACTACGATCGAGATTTTAGAACACCTAAAGTTTAAAACAAACACTAAAAAGCTAGTACTCGGATCAAAGCTCAAAACAAAATACACTGTAAACTACGGCTTGGATTAAAAAATCTTGTGAATTCATCATCTTTTTAACATCAACAACCTGTTTGCTTTCGGATTATGCAAAGCATTATTCACACAGCCGTACAGTCCTTGTTCTTAACTATCTACGTGGAATAATGCATTTACAATAATTTGATGACCGCTGCATGAATAATGTTGCTGAAGGTTGCAGCGACGTTTACAAAGATTCTTAAACCCTGAACTTCACCTATACTAGTAACTACTCTCTTGTCACGTTCCCTTCACGGTTAGCTTATTTCAATAGTAAGACGACCATACTAAGCAACTGGAAATATAAAAAAAAACACTATAAACTTGGACCGTAATGGAGAGAATAAACTATATTGCAAAGATAATTCCCCGTTTTTCTAGGTAGTCATCGCTCCTTGGCTGCACATGTCACGAAATTAAATATGCACACCAAACAACATATAATAGTACCAAATATCAACAATAATTAATCAACGCCAGAACTTTACGTCAATGATTATAAGATGCTCGTCGATCATGTGAAGTTACACTGCCAAACATACATAAAATATTATTTAATTGATTATTAATCACAAGAAATACAAGTTATCCATGCAGCTGCATGTGCATGCATATAGACTTTCAATAAACGCACATATATAGGCTTATATAGCGAAAAGGTCCTTACCTTACAAGTTTTTCCTTTTCTTACTCTTAACATTTAGTTGGAAAGCATGGCAATATTTAGAAACTTGTATATATATGAAAACCAATAATTTTCTCTTGATCTTAAAGCCGCCACAAATGACTAAAACACACATTTTCTTGAAATTTTTGCCTTGTAAGTATTGCGAATAATGTAATGCAATACATAATTTAAATTATATGCAATTAATGTTTGGGTTAACAAAGAATGGGGGAAATGAGTTGCAAAACTGAAAATATGAGGGGGTTTATGTGAATCCAAAAGAACAAAGATAAATTACTTAACAGCTCATATTCCCTTTTTTGATTGGTAAGTTATAACAATCCTCCAGCTCCATCATCACCAATTTGTCACCATCACGCCCCAACTAATTGTATTTTCTAAATAAACTTTCGAATATTTTATCTGAAACATTACAAAACATTGAACCGGAAATGTGCCAAAATTCAACGTCTATTATCGTTTAAGTATTACCGATAAGTAATTAACCAGTCATTGAGTACTGATAACCGGTTTGACTTTCCTAAACCATATTTTCTCTTATGACTTCCTTCAAGTAGCTTCCCTCGCCAGCAGTTTTTGCATACCAAACCTCTGTGTTCTTTCTCCTTCTCTTTATCTCGTCTCTGCTCCCTCATAACTATCTTCTACACTTTGTTCTCTCAATTCAAACTAAGTCTTTTAAGCAGTACTTCTTGAGATCCTTCTTTGAACTGTAAGTTATTTATTTCTTTCAATTTCGTCTGAAGAATCTGCTTGGCATATTAATCTGATTAGTAAACTTTTGGAATTTTTCTATTAAAATGTCTTTGTAGCCATGAATAAGTGTAGATTTTTGTTTGTTTGGAATCATGTCAGGCTGAGTGTGCATAGACCTGATTTGTCAGAGAACAACAGTTATAAACAAAACATGATAGTGGAATGTAGGAATGTTTTCTTTGTAAAATGGTTGGGAATTTATATATCTCATCAAGTACTATATATAACTAATTAAATTTTAATTCATCCCTAACTTCAATAAGTAAATATCAATTGCAGATTTAACCAAGTCTACACATCACATAACATTTAAAAAATATATTAAGATGAGTAGAAGACTTTCCATCTTCTACTCTGTGTTACTCCTCATCTTTGCATCACCGTCTCTTCTTTCTCCCGTCACCGGAGACCTCGCCGGAGACAGACAAGCCCTTCTTGACTTCCTCAACAACATAACTCACCCACCATCTCTAGCGTGGAACGCAAGCAGCCCTATATGCACCACATGGTCAGGCGTCACGTGCAACAGAGACAACACACGTGTCACCGCCCTTCACTTGCCAGGTGCGAGTCTTCTCGGACCGATCCCTCCTGGAACCATCAGCCGTCTATCAGAGCTTGAGATTCTCAGTCTCCGATCCAACGGCTTACACGGCCCGTTCCCAATAGATTTCTTGCAGCTCAAGAAACTAAAAGCTATCACTCTCGGCAACAACAAACTCTCCGGTCCATTACCCTCAGATTATACCACGTGGATGAATCTAACAGTTCTTGATCTGTTTGGTAACCGGTTTAACGGTAGCATCCCCTCGGGAGTATCAAACCTAACCGGACTCTTGTCCCTAAACTTGGCTGAAAATGACCTTTCTGGTGAGATTCCGGAACTTAACCTCCCTGGTCTACGTAGACTTAACGTATCCAACAACAATCTCACTGGAACAGTTCCAAAGTCTTTGAAAAGATTCGGACAATCATCTTTTTCCGGCAACAACTTAACATACGACAACACCTCTCCTCCTGTTGGTTCACCAGAAAAAGAGAAAGAACAAAAAGAAGACAAACATGGCATCTACATCTCGGAGCCAGCGGTACTAGGGATAGTGATCAGCGGTTGCTTCTTGATATTCTTCGCAATCGCGGTCTTGATTATCATTTGCTACGTGAAGAGAAAGAAGAGACAAGAAACCAAACCAGAGACGGTGACACCAGCTAAGGCAAATCCGGAAACCCTACCAAGTGAAAAAGAAGTTTCTAAAACAAGAAAAGAGCTGAACATAGAAGACATGGAGGAGAAGAGTGAATTTAATAAGATAGTGTTCTTTGAAGGAAGCAATCTTGCTTTTAATTTGGAAGATTTGTTGACATCTTCTGCAGAGTTTCTAGGGAAGGGAACTTTCGGTATGACCTACAAAGCTGTTCTTGGAGATGCCAAGGTCATTGCGGTGAAGAGATTTAAGGATTTATCGGTATCAAGAAAGGATTTCAAACATCAAATGGAGATCGTTGGGAACGTTAAGCATGAGAATGTTGCTCCTTTGAGAGCTTACGTGTGTTCCAAGGAAGAGAAGCTTATGGTTTATGATTACTATCCCACAGGAAGTCTCTCTGTTCTTCTTCATGGTATGTTTAGTGTTTATTAATATCAAAATAGTAGTTTTAGGATATTTGGGTATTTCAAAATTAAATATAATAATTATGTTTAGGTATATAAATTATATTTTAATTATTTGAGTATTCGTTCGGTTTTTGGTTTGATTTTGGCTTTTCGGTTTTAGAAATATATGATTCGCTCAAATAACTTATGTTATCCAAACACAAACCGAACCTTGTTTTTTTGGTTTGGTTTCTTTTCGGTTCGGGTTAACGTGTTTAGCCCTAACTTACTTGATGATGTTAGTTTCTTGTGTCTAAAGAAAGTTCTTTTCCGGCAGGCAAGAATGGCGACGAGGGACATAAGCCGTTGGACTGGGGAACGCGATTAAGATTCCTAATCGGATTAGCAAAAGGATTAGCTCACTTACATACACAACACAAGCTCGTACATGGCAACATCAAATCTTCTAATATCTTCCTAAACTCCAAAAGATATGGATGTATATCTGAAACCGGTTTAGCCCTCTTAACCAACCCGGTCATCAGAGCAGATTCATCAGCCAGAACGGAACTACGTTACCGTGCCCCTGAAGCATACGACACAAGGAGATCGACGCCTGAATCAGACATATACGGTTTTGGAATCGTGATGCTGGAAACTCTAAGCGGAAGGTCAAGTATGGATGATAAGAAGGAGGACATAGAACTGGTGGTATGGATGAATAAGGTTTTGGCAGAACAGTGGACAGGTGAAGTGTTTGATTTGGAGCTTGTGAAGACTCCAGACATTGAAGCAAAGTTGATTCAGATGTTAGACTTAGTGCAGCTTTGTACGAATAGGGTTCCTGCCAAGAGACCGGAGATAGGGAAGGTGGTTGAGATATTGGAAGAGATTGAGAGGGAATAATATACGTTGTTGAATTTACTTTTATGGATTTTAGCCTAATTTTCAGTTCCGTTTTTTTTACCTTTAAATTTACCAGCATTTAAATTAAATTAAGTATTTCTAGTTTATAATGAAAAACTTGTGAGAGAAAATTGAGATTTTTTTTTTTTGAAGAAAACAACATCATATGATTTCAGTTTAATCTTGAAACAACTAAAATTGTATGGAGGTATTTAATACATGCATAGTAAAAAAAACGAAAACTACAATTGCTAGTTTGTAAATTTGATTACTCGGATTTGTATTAAATGCTGTTATGTTTTCATTGCGCATTTGCATGCAGATTTTCATTTTGTTCGTCGACCATTTGCATGCAGTTATAAATTTAGAAATCAGTATATAAATCTGAATCAAGGACATTACTGAAAAACAAATATGAAACGACAAAGTAAATGTTTTTGCTTTTGGATTCTAATAAAAGTTCCATTGTGTATGGAACCAGCTGGGATTCACAGACTCACCTCTGGCCAACTAAAATTTGTGAGTACTAATATATTGTTAGTATTCCACGTATTCCAAATTATTGAAGTTTTTTTTACTTATTCATCGATTGTCATCTTTCTTCATTCCCATATTCACAAACTTAAAATGATGTGAAACTTTTATAACTCAAATTTTAGAGCTAAAGCTCAAACAATTATCAATGACAATGTAAAACTTATTTAATAAGTAAAAGAAAAAAAACGTGGGTGTTTCAAAAAAAAAAACAAAACAAAAGAAAAAGACAAAAACATGATTAGGAAATTAAATAGGATTTACCGAATTGGATACTTATTAGCTATTATGAATAAAACTACTAAAAGATTACTTAAAGTTTCATTCCATCTCTTAGTGATTAAGAGTAGAACCCTCCAAAACCTCCGAATGGATGACTTGGACCAAAGTTTTCAAACGGAGATTCCAAACCAACGGTGGTGGTTGGGGAGTTTATTGTAGAGTGAGAAGCAGAGCCAGCATCGTGAGGAGCTAGAAAATTGTAGTTGACATTAGTTCCTAGATCACTATAACTTGTAGATCCGAGAAAACCAATCTTGTGATCCTTATGTTGAAGCATGACAGTGTTACTCTCTAGGTTTATGGTAGAGGGTAAAGGATAGTCAAGGGTTTGATGCAAATTTGCTTGGTGATTGTAGTTGTGATGACCAGTGTCTAGACTTGTCTTCACAATCTCAAGTTTGTCTTGTTCTTGGGTCTGGTTTGGTTCAAGAACTTGTACCGGAATGGCTGAACTAACATTTGAGGCTTGGGAGCAAGTATGTATTCCTCGGTAAATAACCTCAAAGAGCATCGGATCTTCGTTGGATCTCTGGACTTGTTTGGTGGCTTCACATCCTTGAGATTTTCTATACGTGCATCTATGGTATCCCCTGCACCAAATTTTTTTTTTTTTGTCTCATATGATATTAAGACTGCACAAGTTTGGTACTCACATTTCTAGACACAGTATTTGTGGGTGGATATTAAACGAATGTCTAAGAGTATTTTCAATCCACATCTATATTTTCTCTAAGGTTTTAAAAAAGAAGTTATTATAGAGTTTTTTTTTTTTTTGCTGGAATGGATATATTTATAATAAAATTTTAGATTCTAAAAGTAAATATAGTAAAATTCTATTTTTGTCAAACTTGAATGTTTCTATTTAGAGGAAATCATAGAAACAGATTAGAAATGGTCTAGAAAAGAATACAAAAAAAACCTCTGGAGGTATTACGAAACTAACCTGGGAAACTTGGCTCCGAGGATATCCTTCTGGCCGTACTTTCTCCAACTGAACCCATCGTCAAGCGCTCGATCAATCACAACTCCAGGGGCAATTCTGACTTTTTGAGTCCACCTTGGCATCGACTTCCTCGAACTTGATGTCATTTAATTAAGATATCACATTTTCAAACAATTATAAGCTTATGTAAAACAACATATAAATAAAAATAATAATTAGAAGAAGACATGTAATTAACGGTTTACCCTAGCTATTGTATCCTGTTTATGTCGTTATCCAAATTCAAATCCGCATAATACATGTTAAGAAATGAAACCATACATTGTTACAGTTTATAGATATGGTCATATGGATGTACCTCTCGATGATATGTGGTACTTGATGATCAGAATCATCGCTCTTAGGGCTTCCTACACCGAGGGAATGGGGAGAGACTTGGTCCAGTTCGCCTGAGTAATTCATAATGGTGAGAGACTTGTGGTAAGATTCAAGAATCTTCTTGGCCAAATGTTCACGTGATTCTTGAGATGAAGATGAGCCAAGCTGAGACTTGAGCTGGTGAGCGTAGTCTATACCTTCTGTCATCAGTTCGTTGAGCTCTTTCTTCATCTTCTCCCACTCTCTACCATTACTATTCCTCTCCATTACGTTAAAAAAGGTGAAAATATGGATTAAACGTGGTACAAAATATTATGGAAGGTTATATGTTATGAAAGAGCATGTATGTGTATTGTGCATGGGTTGTAGATATATTTGAAAGAGGGGAATATAAAGAGGATTGTGTGAGAGAGACAGAATTTGACTTTTTGACTGAAGAACGAGGAAAGCTGAGATGGAGTAATGAAATGGAGTGGTGAGACTGGTCTTTGGTCAAATAATTTGGAAAGTCCAACCTGCTGACCAGTTCTATGCTTCTCGATCCTTTTTTTGGTTTACTTTACTGGATTTCATTGTTAAGGTAATTTTTAATTATTTAACTTATAGTTTACTATTTATGAACTTATGTTTCTCATGTTTTTGTAATATTCAGTTTACAGAATCTACTCTATCAATGCGATCATTGATAATCTTTCTTGTTGTCACCATCAAAATAAATAAAATAATTATGAAGTGAATGAGAGTATAATTGTGAAAGAAACTCACAATAAACACATGGTATTCATTTAGTTATTTAATTATTTCTAAAATAAATAAATAATATAATTAAATATTAATCTATTCAAATTTTTGAAAAGTTCACAAAGTCTACCTAGCCTTAAAACTCATTACTAATACTAACTACAAGTAGTCTTAAATTTGAAGTCAAGAAGATGATCTAATAAACAGATCTTACTCCATAAGCTAACTGTTTTTCAGTTTGGTTACTAAGATTATAATATGAATATTATTTCGGATTTATGTAGCACTAAAATGGTAAAGAGAAGTAGCACTAAAACGGATTCTGTATATTTTTTTTTATCCCAAACCTATTCTATATTGGTTACCTAAACTTGTCCCATTGACTGAGAGTTGGAAGTGGAATTATAAACGGATCGCAAAAGTTATAAAATACTGCCAAACAATATAAACCACTTAGCGATCTAACTTTGCACTCATTTGGGACATTTTTTATTTGGATCATTGTCTTCTTTAAGATCCCAAAACTTGTATGAGTACATATGAACTATTATTGAAAAACCTCATCATTTGTATATACAAAATTTAACTTCTAACAAAGAAAAATACAGACGTTACCGCGCACTAGATACATGACGTTAACATGACGTTAATTCAATTATATCACCGTCATTAGAGACTAATTAGAATAACAAATGGAAGTGTCACTAAGATTTTGTGATGATATTAGCTTTGACCATTCTAGTGTTAGCCATTGAAAATTCTTTTATAAATTTTCGTGTTAAATACACATCTAATATAAATTAGTTTCACAAAACAAAATTCCATTTTTTCATATGTATTCTAAGTGGACCACAAAACCACTCATGATCAATCGAATACGGCAGGAAGATTATTATTTGACGAGCAAAAGACCAAAACGTTCGTTCGTTGCCGTGTTATAGACTCTGTAAATCAACGGTGTCACATTACTATCGACTAAACTCTTCTACGAACATTCATCATGCTCAAAACCGGTTTTAAAACATTCAAAATTCACTCTAACCGGTCTCAAAACCGGTTAAGTTAGAGCTTATTTCACATTTCCTGCAGAACTTTAGTTGAATAAAATTACTCTATAAACCGGTCCTGTTGATTCCGCTTAGCCCTATCAAATAAAAGGTAATACCGGTTTAATTTTGTAAGAATATTGTATACCAAGTCTCAGACTTTACATGTATAACTTTTTCGGTATCGGTTTAGTACAATGATATAAACACTACAACATTTACTATTCATGGATCAAATTATAAGTAACTCTGATATATATATATATATATATATACACAAACTATACCAACGTTATAAAACGTTTTGAAGTAGGTATCATACCAAGTACACGCTCAAATGGTTGAGTGGGCCGGTTCAGTTTGGTTTGATTTGGTTTTCAGACAATGTATTGGCGTAGGTAATCAACTCTGGCCTGATGCTTCAGCTTCATCAAAGCCTTGACTTCATGTTTCCTCACCATTTCTCTAGAGATGTTGAGATTACCAGCTATCTCTCCAAGTGTCCTGTCTCCTTTCCCATCTAGACCGTATCTTTGTCGAATCACCAAACTCTCTTTAGGCTTCAATGAATCCAGCTGAAGAATACAAAGATGCTCAGTATTCTCTATACACATAGGGATGAAGGGAAGGATTGAAACTTACCACGTCATCAAGAGCGAGTCTGAGAAGAGCAGGTTGTCTCCTGTTATCAGCTCCAACACCATCAACATCTGTGATGCCATTGATGAGTTCTTCTTGAGTAACTGAATGTTTTGAGTTCAGTGAGTAAACTGGTTTTGCGGCTCTCAAGACTTCACGGTATCTCTCAGGTGAGATCTTGAGTCTCTCAACTATCTCTTCCTCTGTAGGGAGTCTTCCTAGCTCAAACAGTAGCTCCATTTTTGTCTTATAGATCTCCACTCTAACCTGAATGGATTCAACAAAGAGGAAACATGTAAGGTCCCTGCAAAACAATCTACTAAAGTAAGATTTTCTAGTTAAAATTTTTGTTCCATAAAAATAGATTTTCTATATTTTCAAGGTAGTTTTGTACTCTCTCTGTTCCTAAAAGATCCATATTCTAGTTTTTTCACACTTTTTAATAAAACACAATAAATTTGCATAGTTTTTTGTGTTTATCTTCTTTCTATAATTTTAAACCAATCAAAATCAATTAGTGCAATTAAGTTTTTTGAAGTTTACAATTATTTAATAAAACATACATTGAAAATATAAAAAATGGATCTTTTAGAAACAAATTTTTTTTTCTAGAATATGTATCTTTAAGGAACGGAGTGAGTATATATTTAAGAAACATTAATTGAGAATATCTGAACTAATTAAATGTTATTGGTTGATAGTTATTGAAAAACGTATAACAAAAATAGGTAGTACATTTATTTGTAAACATTTATTATATTCTTAAAATGCATGAATACTCTACAATTTTTTTCTTTCGGGAATGTGAAACCTCTATAAATTAATAATATTGAGATGACAGCAAAATTATAATTTTTTTACTAATATATAAAGAGTATTAATTTATTGATATACTAACTAAACCAAAAATTCAATTTAGGATTATAAAATTATATTATTTTATAGAAATTTTTAGTGTATATTAATTTATAGATTATTAATTTAAAGAGTTTATATTGTAGTTCTGAAGAAAAGAGTGTAACGTACCGATTCAAGTCCAAATGGGACACGAGTAAAGTTTGAGGTTGTCATAGACCGTATAATAGCATGTCTAATCCAAAACAAACCATAAGTGGAAAGACGAAACTTCCTTTTCGGTTCAAAGCGGTCAATAGCTGTGATAAGCCCTCTCATACCGGCTTGACAAAGGTCTTGGAACTTAGGTCCGTTGGTAAAATCTTGAAAGTATTTGTTCATAACAAACAGTACAAGACGGAGATTGTGCTGCCAAATGCAAGAGAAACAAGAGTTATGTCTATTATAATAGCTTTTGTAAGAGAGTTAAATCTTTTTGACACTCACCTTAATAAGTTTGTTCCTTGCAGCTTTACCAACTTTGATTTTACTTTTCACTTCAGCCACACTCATATTGATCTCTCCAGCTATTTCAGCTTCTCTAGGCTCTCTTCCCAAGCTCTTTTGTAGTTCATCTTTCACTTCAAGAAGAGCCTGCAACGTTAAACACTATACATTGTCAGCATATATTGCATCTGTGATAACCATACTTAAGATTTAACAATGTTCTAAAAATAGGTTATTGCTGAGACAATTTTTTTTAAATCCGATTTATACAATTCAAATCAGTTTAAACCATTCTAAATCGGTTAAAATGGATTTTAATCGATCTAATTGATCTAAATCTGTTTAATCAAGCATTAATATTAGTGTAAATCCATATATTTGTCTAATTTTTTTTTTTGTATATCCAATTTATAATCCATCAAAATAAGTTTACAATTAGACACACAAAAAAACTAAAATATCTAATATAAATGTAAAAAAGATATATCAATATTCTTTAAAGCCTAATAACCTAGAGATTTCTTGAACATTTGAGATTTAAGAAAAAGAAACAAAGTTAGAAGAATACCTTCATGGGTTGCATCAACTTAAACAACCAAGAATGTTCAGCAGAAGTAAGAACAGGAGGTATCTTCATTTTCTTCCAGTCCAAGCTGACTACATCATTAGAAGCTGAGTAGTCTCTCACAAGCCTCTCGATCTTATCCTCCTCTTGCTGCCTCTTTGTTACTTTCTTCTGAGCAGAAAGCATAACTGGTTTCTCCATCTCCATCTTATCCTCCTCTTGCTGCTTCTTTGTTACTTTCCTCTGAGCAGAGACAATAACTGGTTTCTCTTGAATGTTTCTCTTCAACGCAATCCTCGTATCAAGATTCATTCTCTTTTCCTTCTTCCCATTACTCCTCACAACTACTTTCTTCTCTTCACCACCACTCTCTTTCCTCTTCCTCCTCCTTGAAACTTTCCTTTTCGAGCCATCGATAACATCCTCCTCCACTGGAGGACTAAGCTTGTAAATGCTCTCTAGTCTCGCAGCAGCTTCATTGTAATCTAACCCTAAAGGAGCCAAGTTTTTGCTTTTACAAGGCTTTCTACTTTTTACAACTCTCTTCTCCTTCTGCTTCTCCAAAACTAAATCTGAGTTGGTGGACTCATCAGCTTTGAAAGCAACAATGGATGGTAACTTCTTAAGTGAAGACCGGTGTGTTAAAAGATCAGTGCTTAAACCAAGAGGAGACCTTGCAGCTGAGCTTGAAATAAACACAACTCCCATCACAACTCTAAAAGGGTTTTTAAAAATGAATCCTTTGAAGCTTCAAGTTTGCTGCAACACAAAACATGTCTCATTCTCATGTTTCACAAAGGTATAAGAGATACAGAGAGAAACCCAATTCAAGTTAGTTAGAATTAAAGAGAACCCACACGCAAAGGTTGAAACTTTAGTGAGCATCAGATACAAACAAAACAGAGAAAACAGAGGAAACAGAGGAAACAACTGTACACAGAGAAGGAAACTAAAGGTTTAACATTTTGAATGCATCTGACTGATAAGAAACTAATGTTCGATTGTCGGAGAAGAAGATCGGTAAGCGTTACCTTTGTCGTGTCGGAGATTCTTCGTCCGATGAGATTCTGCTTCAATTGATTTTTAAATGGAAAATGAGAATTATAATTGGAGTCGAATATGAAAAATATGTGGTGTCTCTGAATGTTCTACGTGTGTCCACAGGTTAATGACAATTTGCCGCCGTGTATTTCTCGAATCTATTATTTAACCCCCAAAAGTTTTAATCAAGTCAATATAAACCCCCTCTTGTCAAATAAAAATAAATAAAAAATCTTTTTCAAAATACATATATTGTCAAAGGATTTTATTTGCCAAACAACCACAAAAAATTAGATTTTTAGAGAGATAATAGAGGGAGATAGAAAAAAAAAAGTAAGAGAGAATGGATGTTTTTAGTTACTTAGTGAATTTTGAGATTTTTTGTGTATATATAAACAAATTTTCTTATTGTTTTGGAGGATTCTGTCTGCAAATTCTCTTTGGGTAAATTGGGTCAAGACATATCTAATCCGGAAAGGCTCTATTTGGATGATAAAGGATAACACGCAGAGTGGGTCGTGGATGAGGAAAAAGCTATTGAGGTGTAGAGATATTGCTAAAACTTTATATCGAGTGGAGGTTCGAAATGGGAGAAAGACATCGTTCTGGTTCGAAATGTGGTCATCTTTGGGATGTCTTTATGATGTGATGAGTAGTAGGGGCCATATTGATATGGGTATTCTGCTTGAGGAAAATGTTGAGGCTTGTAGGTTTCACAGGAAAAGAAATCACAGGGTTCCGGTTTTTAACATTTTAGAAGCTGAGATTGAGAAATATAAAGCTAATTGGATAAATGAAGAGGATGTTTCTTTGTGGAGGAATAGTAAAGGCATATATAAGAGAGTCTTTGCTACTCGTGATACTTGGCAAAACATTAGAGAGAAAAGCCATCTCTGTTCGTGGTCTCATGCTGTGTGGTTTAAATATGCTACCCCAAGATATGCTTTTATTACTTGGCTGGTTATGCATGACAGGCTTTCTACCGGTATTCGAATGTTATGCTGGAATACTAATGCTGATGTATCCTGCATTTTGTGTAAGGATCCCTTGGAGACTGCAGCGCACCTCTTCTTCCAATGTCCTTATTCGTCACAAATATGGGAAACCTTGATGAAAGGTGTTTTGGGTAACCAATTCACGGTGGAATGGGAGGCTTTAGTTCGCTTCACTACAGTGATTCAAAATTGGAGTAGAGTTAAGCTCTTTATTACGAGATATATGTTGCAGGCGGCAGTATATGCCATTTGGATGGAGAGAAATAGAAGGAGGCATAATGAGTCTCCTTTACCTACTGAAGTATTGATTAAGAGGTTGGATAAAAATATGAGAAACAGGTTTACCATTTTGCAAAGGAAAGGTTGTAAGGAGCTGGAAGGGGGCATGACTTTCTGGTTCGGATCAAGATGATTTGTTGAACAGGGGAGCTTCATGAGAGGCGGAGAATGAGGAATGGATTGGTTGTATTGCAAGGGGGGTCTTTTGTTTCCCAGTAGGAGTGAGTGCTGGTTACTACTTAGTAGGAGTGAGTGCTAAGTAGGTGGGAAGGGCTGTCAAAACCAGTAGGAGTGAGGGCTGGTTCCAGTAGGAGTGAGCGCTGGATACTTAGTAGGAGTGAGTGCTAAGTATTTGATTGTCTTTCCTCGTGAGAGTTTTGGTTTCTATCTATGAGCTTTTGGCTGTGTTTGGGGAGGTTGTTGGAAGAGTGGAGAGGTTTCTATCTAGGTTTTTAAATCTTGTTTTTAAGTTCTCTTGTTTAAGAAGTTTAGAAAGGCCACACATAGTTTGTAACAAGGACTTTTTTCTTTCGAGTTAAATTTAACATTCAATTCAAAAAAAAAAAAAAAAAAAAAAAAATTTCTTATTGTTCATGTCTTAATCTGTAATATTGTATAATTTTTTTTTGGTTTAGTGTCATGCTAGATTATTCTGAACACTAATAGATCAAATATTTATTCGTTAATATACAAAAATTTAAGATGAAACTTTTTTGTAAGTGATTTTCTATTACTAATTAAAATACAAAATTCGTTTTATCATATATGTCAAAATTCTTTTAGTACAATTTATTTTTTGGTTTTCTACTTTTATGTTTTATTTTTTGAAAAAAACTTTCTATTGAATACTAGAAGATTACAAGATAATGGCTCTGCCATACTGTTCAGAAGTAAGAAATCAAATTGCTAAGCAAAATACAACATAGTTATAAGAACAATATCTAAGCAACATAGTTTTTGAAAATGGGGTTTCTACTTTGTTTTATAATATCAAAATATGTTACTTTTGTAAAGATTTTTATTAAAACTTTTTTTATTCTGTTCATATTAAAAATAAGTAAAAATGTAAATTTAAATCTTAAGAAATGATTTATCGTACATTTTAAATCTTAAAAGATAATTTATCCGTCGATTGTTTCTTAGAGATTAGTCTGAATTTTTCTATAGTTCAGTATATCATCAAGTTAAGAAAAAAAGCTTGAAGTATCATATCAATTTGTGCTATTTTCATCCAAACTTAATTTGAATAGTTTATTTTCTTGATAAAAAGATAATAAAAAGCTATATGTGCAATAAACTCCAAGAATAGAGTTAAGATGGAAATAAAGTAAAAGTTTGGCATCTCAGGAATATCCAACGGCCGAAGAGGCTCTGAAAGAAACCAACGGCTGCAAGATTGCACAAGCGGAAATAGCTAAAAGTCGACGTGGCTAATTTATAGTGGAGGAGAGGATATTTTCTAAGCAAGGCTTGTGGTTATGGATCAGGTAATATACACGTGGGATGGTCTTCTCATCGATAGCGGGACCCAAAATTAAAGAAGTGGCTTGGCAAACATCAACGTAGCCAATTATAGACCTATTAATTATTTTATCAAATTAAAAGTTTTTTTTTTGTCAAATCAAATTAAAAGTCAAATCACTTATATTCCTAAACACTACACAAGAGCTCCAAATGTTTGGTGAATATTATTTTTGCACCCCTTAAGTCGTTTCTGTTGAAATTTCATAGAGTTTCCTAAATGTTATATAGGGAAACTTTTTAACTAAGTGCATATATTTTGTGTGTTTCAAAAAAAAGTGCATATATTTTGTTAAAATTTGACATCTCCTATTTTAAAAATAAACGAACCTTATTGTTTAGCTGGGCAACCAGAACTGGGAAGATCACTGAGGTCTCAAAACTCGTTTGGGTGATTGGTATATAATAAGTCTGGTTACGTTTTATTTTTATAGCATTTATATCTTTCTTAGAAAAAAATGCGAATTGACTATATGAAAATATTACAATTATTGCTAAAAATACTATCACCATTATGTGGCAAATTTTTAATAATTATCAAAAAAAAAAAAGTACTTTCATAGAATCAAGTTTTATGAGAGAATCTATGAAACACATTCAACAAAACGGGGGGTCGTTTTAATATTACAATATTTCACACATTTAAAATATAGCGATGGGTACACACTAATAATAGTAAGCACACTACAATACATCAAATAACAAATACACAACCACCAATACTAGCGCTCCAAATATGTCATAGTATCATTCGCGGTTCATATCATCGATGCTTAGAGAGCGGTTGCAGCCATATAGCTTTTGCGATACGCGGCTGCGGATGCTGGAGACAACATTTGACTAACCCCTTCCGCCTTAAGATGAGGAACCAACATTTTCATTGACAACTAGTGATACACACAAACAACATAAAAAAAGTCAAATTAATTGCAAATTAGGAAAAAGACACATACAAGTATATGACATAAGGAGGGAATTAGCTAGTGACTTACACCAAAAAGTCTGAGGCTATGCCAAATGCCACGAGGAGAGGGAAATGGTGAGAGCAGTTTACCAATGGAAGATAGAGTAATACCGCATAGATGAAAGATGAGAGAGAGTGGCTTAGGGTTCATGCCGCCGAGCAGAGCCATCATGCCTGACGTGCGAAAGCCACCACTAGAGAGGTATTCAAAACAGCCTTGTCGCATTGCTTCTTTTGCTTCGTCCGTTGATGCAACTAGCACTTGAGAAAATGCATTCCCTAGTGTGTTCACCGTCGCTGACATTGGCTTCACATTCAAAATCAACCATTACTATTATACATTTTGAGGTTATCATTAGTGGGGAGAAACTAATCTCTTTAAAATTATAATATGATAATTATTATATAGTATTTATTTCAGAATGCTCATAGATTAGTATGTGACATATGCTCACTTTTCGGATGACATAAAATGATTTGATAACTTCTGAGATTTTGCTTGCATCACTGAGGTTTCGTAATGGCTGGAGAAGGCTGCGAAGAATGAGGATGTCAGACAAAACAACCATCATTCCAGATGCAATTGCTGGGTGACGCATGTTGAATGCATCTCCCAACACAATCACTCCTTGCTTCTGGCTCAAAGTAGCATCCATTCTCTTTGTTGGCATCACTTTAATTTGTGCTCCCTCATCAATTCCTTTCAAAAATATTTTGCGGAATTCTGGAGGTACCTGAAAAATAAGTGTAAGGAAATGTAAAAATGTATATCTGTTATATTAAAAAAAAAAAAGAAGAAAAGTTTATCTGCATGGATCAATGGACCGCTTGCAAATGTTAGAATGTATATGTACCTGAGGAGCCATAGTATTTTTCAAGTAAGCAACCATTTCACCATTTGAAATAGAAGGAATATTGCCGGGGAAAAGCTCCATAACACAACGAACATCGGTGCTGCTTATTTGATACAACATGCTGAAGGAGGGTTTAGACATTATCAGCTTTAACTTTTCAGGATCTTCAAGCTGACAATTCTTTGAGACGTAACCAACTTGATACGAAATAACCTCCGCCTATATCAATTCACAACAGATTGATGCTTATATAATCTAACGGAATAAATTAAAGTAAATAGCATCAGCTATTTATCATTATAATTTATTGGAAAATGTTGAATTCTGTTTAATTTAGAGTTATACTCACATTGTTGTCGTTAACAGACCGACGAAGGTTTGAATAGCAACCGTCGCATACCACAGTGAGAGGTGCGAATGCAGTTGTTTCTTCGCCTGCGCTATTCTTGTATGTTA